TTAATCGTCTGCGATTTGGACACCTCAGATCTCCCTCCCATCTACAGCGAATGAAAATAGTGAATAGCAGTTCATGCAATTTTTGTGATGAGGCTGATGCCGACCTGGAACATCTGATTATGAAATGCCCAAGATTTGGCCTTGAAAGACTTACACTAGTAGCCGATTTGAATCACTTATCAGAAGCAGATACAGATGTTAATGTAATACCCCGCCACATCCAGGAAATATTATCAAAACCTATTACTTATGAATATTTATATAAATATGTAATCACTACAGNTGGGATACAAAAAGAAATACCAACGAAACCGCGTCTTTCCATTCTATACATAGCCAGAACGCAAGGGTGTGAAACTAATCGAGTATAGTTTGGATGTGACTTTTTTTACTAAGCTCCTCCAAACTATACACGACCAGTACGCATACGCTGCGTACTGCTCGCGTATACTTTGTAGTGACTTAGGTCAATTATCTTACTCCAAAATATACATCGTCAGTACGCATACGGACTAATCATGTATGTATTGTAATAAGTTCGTGATTACAATGTATACGCGAGTATACTCGTTTTGCATGCTCGTCATTTTGACTTATTTACCTCTCTTTCTATTACACATTAATTCATAACTGCGTGTCTACTTTAAAAACATTGAATCAATTTCGACACGTGCCATTGTTTTGATAAAGAGCTTTTTGGTGTTTCATATTCTGCCATAGGAAAGATATTTGTTTTGGGGCTGAATAACTCTTAAATTAAGAATTATGTATGTCAAAAAGATTTTTGTTCTTGAGATAAAAGCTTATAAATAAAAATAAATATCCCTGGACATTTTACACTGCGCTTCTAGTCCCAAACTAAGCAAAGCTTGTACTATGGGTACTAGATAACGGATATAAACATACTTAAATACTTTTTTGTAAATACATACTTATTATACATAGAAGACACCCAGTCCAATACAAACAAATATCAAAATATGTTCATGCACACAAATTAATGTTTGTACTGTGCGGGAATCGAACCCGCTACCTCCGGAACAGTTATCGGTTTTGTCAATATCTTTTTAGCTTTTAACGCAAATCTAGTCTTCAAAGCAGTTTAATCGATTTATTTTATTTTCAAAATCGATATTTTATTGTCTATGATGGCCGCAGGAACATCACTATACATGGACTCCCAGCAATAAAGTACGGTAATGCCTCGTACAGATTTTATCGGCAAAAATTATGGAACTTGATAGGTTTTAGACCATGCCACGCACCAAAACGTCCGGAAGTTGTAATAGTATTATAGAATAAACGTTAAAAGACTTATTTATTTAATTTTTCAATGCTTAAGTGTCCATTAGAATGAAAGGGTGCTTAATGTATTAAAAAAAAATAGAAAATAATTATGATGGGTTAATGTTTTTGGGCGGTTTTTTAGGCGGTTTCTGACAATGTCCTTTAACGATATTTTAACCGCCTCCGCAGATCTGGGTTCAAATGATAACGAAGTAATTAGTAAAGTTAATATTTTTAAGTCATTTGGAAGTTTTTTTAGCATGTTATGATAAGCAAATATTATTATTATCTAACTTACTGACGGAAAAACATTGGGTCACCTCTATTTTAAGGAACTTAAGTAATTTAGGTATAATTTTGTATGAAATCATATGAAGCTCTTGGCTCCATTATAATTTTTTTATGCATAACAAGACAGGTATTTGACCACAATCGCACCGTATTCGCACCTGATGTTAAGTGGGATGCAGTCTAGGATGGTACATATCTGCCCTGTAGTTATATTATAGTTCTTTTGTTTTAATTTTAGCTACATTGCCTGTGGTGGGAACTTAAGTTTATTTTATTACGAGACGAGAAGATAAAATATTCTGATTTATTTAATGTTATTTTTGACTTTATTAAAAAAAGTTTAAAAAGTTATTTTGGGATGTGTGTTCTTTATTAGCCAACTTACCGAGACAGGATAAATGTTTCTGAAACAAACCCAAATAAATAACAAGAATAAGAACAATCCCAGCATATCTTTTAACAAAGCTTGTTCAACAAGTTTGAATAAACCCACATAACGACGTTACATACTATTATGTATATGTATATGCAATGCTTCCCCGTTAGTCCTTAAAATCAAGTTCTCTCAAGTCTAGAATTTATACTAAACAAAGGTATAGTAGCCCCACTTCATAGTTTAACAACAATAAAATAAATAAATACAAAGGCCCGATGATGGGTAAAGATGGGGGAGGCCATTGTTCAGTAGTGGACGTCCTTTGGTTGAAAAGAACGAATTTTTTTTGTACAATACTTAGGTCTTTTTACCTGCGAAACAACTCTGACAACTATGTACCTACTTAGTTTTTAAATTCCTTTTTTTTTTTTCAGAAAAGATAAACCTTAAAAATTCTTTAAAAAAAAAACACTCATAGCTGAACTGCACTGGACCGCAAAGAAAAAGGGTCGGTTAAATTATCATATACTTAGCTTTATGAAGTAAAGGCTAAATTAATTCAAGCTTTTTATAAATAAGCTAGGTCAGGTACTTTTGAAGATGGCTGTGGTAGAGAAGGCTTTGTCCGGAAACCCACAGTCTCCTCCCACTTATGGCGAGTGACGGAGCACCGGGGTCTTTTTAGTGGGTAGGTATTATGCCTCGTCCTTCTGACGTGGTGAGCCCCACATAACCTACCCTGTCCCCGCAGGGTAGGTATGCGATTCAACGCATTTTTCCCCGTAAAAAAAAAGGTACTTTTGAAGATATAGAAGATTTTCTATTTTTACTTACGGTCCGTGTAATTACACCTATGTTTTATTCATAGTACAAGTAATACCACAGAATAATACTCACTTATAGACCTACCACTAGCCCCCCCATTGTGTGCAAACTTAGAACAATTATAGCCCGTGATTGTATCTGGAGCCTGCTTATCGTGACCCGTACTGCTTTGCAATAAGGTTGAGTTTGGTGCAAAATGCGGGAGCTACCTGGGCGCATACCGGTTACCTAAGTAGGGAGGGGACGTGTGGGTGGGAATAGCGCGCGTGAGGAAAATTAGCGCTTTAGCGCTGATGTGAGTTAAAGACATATGATGAGAATTTGGCTCAATGATTGAGATCTCAACAAAGCCAGAGTTTGTAACTTCAATGCCTACACAAATTACAAAAATAATCATTGCGACAATAGTGTAACAATTATAGTTGCCCTGGGTATTTAAGTATGAGTTTTATTAAATTCTGTATGGACTTGTCTTGATAAAATGTTTATAAAATAAGAATTTCGCAAGTGCGTCCAGCTTAATCTATACTTCTTGATTAGCAAACAGCTTTTTAAGTTGATCTATTTAATTATACAATCTCAACATATTCAAACTCCACGGAAAAAGGACTTATTCGACGGATTTTTTAAAATCTTAATGAAACTGCAATATCATAGCTTATAGGTACTGTTTTTTACTTTTTATCAATATAAAGCTACTTTAAAATGCGATGAAGAGAACTTTTAATATTTAGAAGTCTAGTTCTTCAACAGTTACAATCCCACGAATAGCGCGTTAAATAGCGCAATCACACCGTCATCACTCGGTCCTCTCACTAGTCCGACCCAACGGACTCAGTGCCCATGCCGTCTCGATGCGTAAGAGTCGCTTTGCGGACCGCGCACGCGAATAAAACGTTTATAAAACCGACAATATATATACAAATACTTATAACTCAGTGTCCATTGTGAGCAAAAACAACATAGTGCAAAGTGACAGTGTCCAAAACAACCCAAACAAAAGACAAAAGTGATTAACCGTTAGCGCCAAATGGTAAACAAAAACCGCACGAAACATGGAGGACGTGTACACAATTAAAGTCAAAACCAAACCTGACACACGAAATCTTTACCCATCAGAGAGGAGGTATTCTGCGTCTACAGTGTCAGGATTAGCATGGGTGCATATAGCGTTGGCCGCAACTTCGTTTTTATTGGCATGCCTGGCTCTGGCCAACCCTGGCAATGGATTGAATAGCAATAACCAGACCGATGTCAATTATACATTAGATTCAAATTCGAATGCAACCGAAAGCGAGGATAAAAACAGCAGTAATTATATACTAGTGCTGGCGCCATCCCTGATAACGATATTCGGTTTGGCTGCAGGTCTAGCCAGTATACTAGCATCAGTGAGGTGGTATATTGACCGAAACATAACTTGGTTATTCGTTATGTCCGTTCTATCAACAGCAGTCTCGTTTTCATCGTTCGTATTGATCGCTGTATGGTTTATAAACACGACTGATGGTGATATATCAGAGTTTTACAAAGATAAAGTGCCTTTCAAAGACGTTATAGTTGTGAAGCATACAGCTGTCATTGACAAGAACGACTCTCATTTGGTGGTGGCTTTGAATTCAACGGACGAAGACACCTCGCAGCTGTTCACAAAACGTGTTCTGTCTATTAATATTTTGATAGCAGCGTTTTTGGAATTGCTATGGTCGATTTTAAGCGTCAAAATTTCATATAAAGGCATGAGGAATAACTACAAAGATGACAGCAACGAGAGAAGAGGTAACTGCATTTCAGTTGTCACAACTATCAAAGGGAATGACCCGAAGAATTTGCCACGAAACGGCAAGCTTCTTCAACCGAAACCAGATTTAATAGAGCACTATCCAAACAAGAAAATCAAAAGGATATTTCTAGCGCAAAGCGAGAACGGGTTCTATTTGAAAAACCAGAACAACAAGACTAAACAAAACACCGAAACTAGCTCAGAGTTCTATAAAGAACGAATGATGAATTTCTTGAACAGATGTGCTTCTTTAGAAGGCATATCCAACCCTGAGAGGACCCCAAGTGTCCAATCAGAAGCTGTACTTAACCCTATCCCCGAAATCGTGAACGTAGAAGTAAATTTGGACCCTGAACCCGAAATCCGGGATAGGATAACCCCGTTAAGCTGGGGCGATTCCCCCAACCATACAATCTATAACCAGAATACGTTGAACCTGGACAAGATCTTCGATTTCACGAGAAAAGAAGACGAGCAGCGATGTGAAGAAAACAGTGAAATTAAAAACATTAGCGTGCCGTGACGGTGTAATGAATCGCCGATCGGCGTTCGAAAGTGACTTTTTGCTGACAATGAATGAGCGACCTCCGTAATTATGTTAGGGACAATGCAATGTATAAAGTGAGTTATAGTGAATTGGGGGCAATTAATGTAATTTTTTATGCTATACTCATAAGAGACTATTATGACATTATTCTGGTAATAAAACTTTTTTGGAGCTCAATTGACATAATTAACGAATAATTTCCAAGAACTTCCATAATAAAACACATCATTTTGCTCTGAATACCTAGTTTTATATTTTTTTGTTGTTGTTTCTATATCAATACATAGTAATTTTTGCGAAAAAGTGACGTCATAACTTTTTATTCGCAAAAAATCTATAGGGGAATTGCGTTTGATAGCTCATAAAAAAGTATGCCAATTGATTTGCTACTCAGCTAAAATTAATAGGCATGCGAAATTGTATTAATCGTGGCGAATTCTTATGATTTTTTAACAAATCGAATGTTGTAATCCTACAAAAAATACGCGTTCAGGATTGGTTTAACATAGAGATATTTAGTAGAGATCTTTAGGGACTCAGGGAAAAATGGGATAGTTTTTATCCCGATTTTCGGACTACTGCGATATTCTTTCTTGTGTCAGACCGATATTTAATTTTATGTGAAGTTGCGGGCAAAGATAACTTAAAGATACATATATAGAAACATCGTTAGGGACCCAGGGCAAAACGGGATACTTTTTATCCCGGTTTTTGGACGCTCGCGATTAAGTCTTTCTGAGACAGACCTACGCGGTTCAATTTAATTTCAAGCGGGTGAAGCCACGCACAAACGTTAGTCTACAATAAAATTCACATTTGTGAGTTTGCAATAAAAAGTTATTTTTACGCAAAACAGTTTCTACGTTTCTTTTATTACAATGCAGTTAAAACGGGTCGTTTGATCATTTTTAATTGGTTCTAATGAATACAAACAGTTTTAAACGGTTACAAGTTGACACAGACCAAAACAACTGTTTTTACAACCAAACACGTAGTATATCATCGTTATTTCTAATACTTATCAATCTATATTCAATCCCTACTAATATTATAAATGCGAAAGTAACTCTGTCTGTCTGTGTCGCTTTCACGCGTAAACCACTGAACCGATTTTGATTAAATTTGGCATAGATATAGTTTGAGTCCTGGGAAAGGATATAGGATAGTTTTTATTCCGGTTTTTGAAACAGGGACGCACGCGATAAAGTTATTCTGTGACAGACAAAATTTCACGCGGGCTTAATGCTAGTATTATTAGCTGAAGAGTTTGTTTGTATAAATGCGCTAATCTCAAGAACTACTGATCCGATTTCAAAAATGATTTCGTGTTGAATAGCCCATTTATCAAGTAAGGCTTTAGGCTATACAGGGTGAAAACGATAAGTGATCTCACTCAATTATTTCTAAACTAATACAAGATATCGAAAAACTGGTTACAGATACTGAAAGGGCTTCACGAGGTCTTTCAAACTGTATCAATAATAGGTTACAGAATAAACTGGATCTATACGAAAATTCAATGTTTCCAGCTGTATAACAGCACTCTATAGCAATAGGGGCGGAGCAGTAAAGAAAATTTTGCAAATACGGGAAATATTATTCAAACGATTTTCACGCGTACCAACTAGTCGCGGGCATAGCTAGTATAATTTCTTAACTACTTATTACCAATATTTAGGTATTATAAAATGGACACCAATCATGCAACGTGCTATCTTCATAAATAATATTGTGAAAACACTTTAGAAACTACACTGTTTCCTAAATGTGTTATTTTTAATTATCTTACATTGTTATAAATGAACTAGGAAAATAAATACGAGTGATTCGTGTGAAACTTTAAAAGACGTTCGAATGTGGTAAAAATAACTATTTACGTAAGAAAATATAGATAACTAACGGCCGCCCGCGGCTTCGTACGCGTGGATCCCGTTTTACCCCCTTAGGGGTGGAGTTTAATAAAATCCTTTCTTAGCGGATGTCTACGTCATAACATCTACCTGCATGCCAAATTTCAGCTCGATCCGTCCAGTGGTTTGGGCTGTGCGTTGATAGATCACTGTCAGTCAGTCACCTTTGAGTTATAATATTATGTATTTAGATATATCGTTAAAAACCGTTCATTGTAAACCACAATATTTATAAGGGTTCCGTTTTTTACCATTTGGCTACGGAACCCTAAAAACATACAAGGATTCATTGTATGTAGTAATACATACAGAAATTAATCATCATTGTCATCATCATCATAGTCACAGCACACACACTGCTGAATCCATAGAACTCCCTTCAAAATTCAAATAAGTACCGTGAAGAATTTGGAACTGCAAAATTAGGTGGTCTTATTACTATGATGAAATCTCTTTAAGACAATCCTAGGACAAGACTGTTTGAAATAAAAAGGGCGATACGGTTAAAAATTTGATCATAAATTACGTTCGTTCGTTTCAACCAAATGACGTCCACTGCTGGACAAAGGCCTCCCCAAGGTTTTCCACAATGAACGGTCCTGCGCCGCCCGCATCCAGGCTCTTCCCGTGACCTTTACCAGATCGTCGGTCCACCTAGTAGGAGGCCTGCCCACGCTACGTCTTCACTCGAGAACTTTAAATCACGGTTATTAAAAAAAATGACCAGACAAAAACTATCCAATGAATTAAATCTAAATAAATAAATAATAAATAAATATCCTTGGATATTTTACACTACGCTTCTAGTCCCAAACTAAGCAAAGCTTGTACTATGGGTACTAGACAACGGATATAAACATACTTAAATACTTTTTTTTTTGTAAATACATACATATTATACATAGAAAACACCCAGTCCAATACAAACAAATATGTTCATGCACACAAATGTTTGTACTGTGCGGGAATCGAACCCGCAACCTCCGGAATAGTAGTCCGTTTCGAACCACTACACCAAACGGCCGACAAACTACTAATACATATTATAAATGCGAAAGTAACTCTGTCAGTCTGTCTCACTTTCACGCCTCAACCACTGAACCGATTTTGATGAAAGACATAGAGATAGTTTCAGTCCCGGGAAAGGACATAGTATAGTTTTTATCCCGGTTTTTGCAACAGGGACGCGCGCGACAAAGGTTTTCTGTGACAGACAAAATTACACGCGGGCGAAACCGCAGGTGGAAAGCTAGTAAAAAATATATTACAATGCTTTGCAATATTATGTCATCTCAAATTTGTTTTTTCATTGTACAAAACTCTCTATTATATCATTATCTCTGTGAATAAATAATCTTTGAATCTTTGAAAAAACATTAAAAAATGTACTTGTTGTGATTTATTCGCAACCTTTACCAGGTCACTGCTATCTGGTACACTTTCTAAAGTGCGAAATAGCATTAATATTGCACTTGCAATAAATTTTAAGATAGCAAACATTGCAAGACTCCAATAAAGGTAAAAACTACAAATATTGAGAATTCAACGCTCATTTTGCGCATGTATGAAGGCAGATTAACTACATACATTAATACAATGTAAATATGAAGAGTAGGATTTGGGTAAACAAATAATATTTAGTTACACAAAGTGGTTATCTACATCATCAGCATCACGGCTTCACCCGCGTGAAATTTAGTTGATCGTCATATACAGGGTGGAATTTTGTAATGCCTCCTGAAGGGAAAGTACTCTTCATACTGTAGATAGAAAATTTTACTCAAGAAACCATTCCTTTATTTTTGAAAATAAATAGAACTGCATTCAAAGATTTCCAAAATTTACTCGCTACACCCGAGAATCGAACCAACTAAAATATGTTCAAAATTACACCCTGTATTTTTATTGAATCGATAGTTAGAGTTAAGTATAAGGATGAAATCTCTCTAAGAAACTTGATAAATCAAATGAAAGGAAAACCATGAAATTTTAAATTATCGTAATTATTTACAGATTATTGTATGGTATGGTGGTAAATTTTCGAAAAAAAAATCGAAAATCTTTGAATGCAGTTCTCTTTCTTTTAAAAAATAAAGGAGTTTTCTTTGAGTAAAATTTTCTACCTACAGTATAAAGGGTAGGTACTTTCCCTCCAGGTGACATTACAAAATTCCACCCTATATTATGTTATTCATCAAAATCCGTTCAGCAGTTTTTGCGTGAAAGAGTAAAAAACATCCAGACATCCATACGAACTTTCGCATTTATAATTTTAGCAGGATAGCAGTAATGGACAAGTGGAATAACCCACGAAAAGATTTTTAGCGAATGGGAGCTCTGGGGGCTGAGTCAGTTTACATCAAGTGAGTGCGTTTAAAAAAATTATGAAAATTTTAGTTTTTGAACGTTTCCCGCTAGGGGCGCTGTACAATCCGTCATATATTTAATGTCATTTTTGACGCGCCGCGTTTGATGTAAACTCACACTAGACCCTCTGTTCGTGAATACATTGTGCGTTTTCTGTCGAATCCAACGAAGGTCAGCCAGCGTAGACAGTTAACGGTCGACTCAATCAACCGACTGTTCCAACAACACAACATTGTTCTGCTACCGGAATTGGCTGCACGTGTCTCGCAAATAAATATGATTTGATTTGTGGGATAAAACTGGGATAAACTGCTTGTATATTGTTCATTGGAATTAGTTTTAAATCTAGGATTCGATTCATCATCATCATCTCAGCCATAGGACGTCCACTGCTGAACATAGGCCTCCCCCAATTCTAACATGGAAAGGATTCGATTAGTGGGATAAAAAATATCCTGCGTTTTTTATACTGGGATAAGAATTAAATAGTTTATTTTCAACAACACCAACATTGTTCTGCTATCGGAATTGGTTGCAGGTGTCTTGCAAATAAATATGATTTGATTTGAGGGATAAAATTTATCTTGTGTTTTGTTTTTATACTGGGATAAGATTCTAATATTTGAATTTTTCCATGTGTCTTGAAGTATGATTTAATCATGTGGGATAAAAGTTATAATGCCTTTTCTAGATTTTATACAGGGATAAGATAGGTATTTTTTGGGAACATTTGGATTGGAGTCAATTGTGACAAGTGAAAGATTTTCAGATTCAATTTTTTAACTCTTTCAAAGAAATAAAGGATTAACCAATAGTGTTATTTCACAAAATTTTCCAGTACAAATAAATTTCTATATTTCTGCAACAAATAAATCATAGAACGTCACAAAAACCAATCAATTGCCACGGGAAAT